CTTTTTTATGATTATAAAGGTCAGGGGTTACAGTTATATAAATCAAGTAAAGAATACTTTCGTTTTTGGACAATGTTACCCCTTCCCTTGCTCTCTCCCAGTTTTTCCTTCCTGTCTCCACCCAAAAGTTGTATAGTTCTTGTTTGTTTGCTTTTTTTCTTCCTAAGTCATGGGGCTTGAACTCTGGGCTTGGGTGCTGTCCCTGAGCTCTTCCGCTCAATACTAGTGCTCTACCACAGCTCCACTTCCAGTTTTCTGGTGGTTAATTGGAGATAAGTCTCACAAACTTTCCTGCCTGAGCAGGCTTTGAACCATGATCCTGAGATCTCAGTTTCCTGAGTAGTTATTATAATCATAAGCCAATGGCACCTGGCAAATAGTTCATTTTCAACATAGTGTCTAGTGAATACCACTGCTGCATTTGTTCACCCTTTGTCTCTCCATTTCTATGTTCCCCTTACCCTCCCAAAGACAGATAAACAAGACAAAAAAAGAAAACAAAAACAACAAAGAAAAATTCTTATGTTTCCATTTCCTGGAGTTAAATAGTTCTTTGTGGTGTCACTTAGTTTTTGTACCTATCCTGGGGCTTGAATTTAGGGCCTAGGTACTGTCCCTGAGCTTTTTTTGCTCAAGGTTAGTTGCTCTCCCCCTTTAGCCAAAGCTCTACTTCTGGCTGTTTTGGTAATAAATTGGAGATAAGAGTCTCATGGACTTTCCTGCCTAGGCTGGCTTTGAACCACTATCCACAGATCTCAATCTTTTGAGTAGCTAGGATTATAGGCATGAGTCACTAGCACCTGGCAATTACGTCACTTTTTTATATGTTTATTTTAACTTTCTACATAGAGTAGAAGATATTTGTGGGATGGAAACATAGTTTATGCTCCATCTATTCCTCCTGATGCCTTACATATATGCATCAAGGGGGTATGTATTGATTTGATCCAACCAGTTGATATGTCATTATACAAAGGTCTTTTGAATGCTAAACTCTGTTAATATGGTCTCCAATAGTATTGGGTTATTGATAGCTTTGTCTTATTATGAGTTCATAATGAGCTGATGGCCATCTTCTTCCTCTAAGTGTCTGTTGCCTCCTTTAAATTAAGAAAAGGAATGTTTCATAAATCATTCTTGTCCAGAGCTTCACTATTCTTCTTTGTGTGGTACCAATTTTAATATATGCACTGTTGAAATGAGCGCTCTTTCTATTTTTTATTAAGAAGAACCTTTCTCTTCATGTTTTTATTTAAATTTTAATATACTTAAAGTTTTATTTTGTGGTTGCCTTGTTAATATTAGCTTTTATACTCATATCTAATCTCTCTCTCTATATATACTTGAATATATATATATATATATATATATATATATATATATTCAATAAAATGTTTCTTGGGCTAGGATTGCAGGTGATTGTTGCTGAGGAAGCTGAGATCTGAGGATTGAGGTTTGAAGCTAACCCAGGAAGGAAAGTCCCTGAGACTCTTAGCTTCATTTAACTACCAAAAAAGCTGGAAGTGGAGCCTTGGCTTAAGTGGTATAATGCTAGCCTTGAGCAAAAAAAGCTGAGACAACACCTAGGCCTTGAGTTCAGTTCCCAAGACCAGCACACTGTTTTTCTTGATGTATTTATTTTCTAGTGCTGTGTAATAAATTATCACCAACTTTATTCAAAATAACACACTTTCGTTACCTCACAGTTTCTACATGTTGGAAACCATTCATTGTTCAGCTGGGCCCTTGGCTTAGGTTCTCTCAGGCTTCAATTTAGGTATTAATAGGGACTCTTAGGCTCAAGATACTCCATGTCACATAGTTACTGGCAGAATTTCATTCTTTGTGGTTGTAGGGTCAGATCTTAGCAGCTGACTGCAGTTGCCTACTATGTGGCTAATAGTTATATCTCATAGTAGCTTGTTTCTTAAAGGCCTCAGAGATAAAGTCTCTTTCAACAAATACACATATAGAGTAAAAAGAATCATTCATATTTTTAAAAGTTTTTGTTGGTCCTAGGGCTTGAGCACTGTCCCTGCACTTTTTGTGCTCAAGGCCAATGCTCTACCACTTGAGCCACAGCTCTACTTCCAGCCTTTTTGGTGGTTAATTGGAGATTAAAGTCTCACAAACTTTCCTGCCCAGGGATCAAACCATGATCCTCACATCTCATCCTCCTAAGTTGCTAGGATGAAAAGCATGAGCCACCAGCACCCAGCAATCATTCATATTTATGTGTGTTCAATCCACAATTGTATATGGATCTACATATACACATATACCTACTCAAGGGAGTGACAATCTCATCATTCTTGTCTTTTTTAATGGTTAGAACCTGTGACTAGGTTCTCAAGGCAAGACATTGACACCAGAAATTGGACATTATTAGAGATCACTTTATGGTCTATCTGCTACATTTGGCATAACACTGGATCATGCTGGTTGAAGACTTTCTTAAATTACTAATAACTTGTCAATACTAGGTAAAACTACACTGACTCGAATGACAAATGGATATTCAGCACTTTGTGTGAAGTTATTTATTGTGTGGCAATTTGTGTTGAGACTTAACAGTTCTGGGAAAAGAATAGAATGGCAGAGATAGTGATTTCAGATGCCTAAGTAGAGATGATCATCTTTCCTGGGCCTAAGATTTAGGAGAATGTCGGGCTGGAATAGAAATTTAAGAATCCCTTGTGTACAGATGGTTAGTGGAGCCTTGTATATGGGTCTAATTTGAGAGGGAAAGCATAGCAAAGATAAAAATTTGGAGCAATTCAGGGACTTCTAAGGAATTCCTTTGACTTTCTAATAACTGAAATGAAAAGGAAACAAATGTAGTATCTAGAGGAAAAGTATTCTTTTTGTATACTTCTGCCTTAAGTCCTATCCTGGCTGTTTATTCCAAGTACTAATTATCCAGTTGTCTTCTTTTTATCCTGGTTTCTTTTTCTTCTTTTGATACTGTATCCATTCACTAGACTATCCATACCTATGTTCTGGTGTCCTTTTGCTGTGTTGTCTAGTTATCAATAACTATTGAGCCAGCAACTTAGCTTTCCTGGGTCTCATTTTTCCGAAAGTTTGACAAAGTTTTAGGGGAACTTCAAAAGAGAGAAACACAAACTTTAAGAATTAAAGACATTTTATGCTGAGTGATTTTGTGTTTTAATACTTACCTTAAATAGATACTTATTTTAAAATATTTATCATAAACAGATACAGCTCAGAAAGCTCAGGCATATTAAATGTGTTGCTTGAAATCACATAGTGATTAATTCATAGACTCAAGGCCACAGACCAAAGGCCACAAATAGGCTCTGATTCCTAGGCCACGTTTGGCTTCTGACTCTTAACCTTTTCTGCATTGTATCTCCTGTGGAGATCAACAAAGTGTTTGACAAAAGATTGGGTTGTCTTAGGTACTGGGTATTTTGTAAGTCTATGCAAAAATATTTAATCTTACCCGTCATTTTAAAAAACACCAAAATAATCTTAAATGATGCAGAGTAATAGGAAAGTTAAAATTGTACACTTATTGACATGGATGAAATATTACAGTCAATGGGGACAGAGCTTAAAGGAAGCAGTCCAGTGAACGAAACATTAGTATTACACAGATGGACGGCACTGCTCTAAGCTACCATTTTGAAGAATGTTGCTTTTTGGACTGACTCCCAAACTCCATTTGGTCACTAGTTTGGAATTTTAAATGGGTAAAAAAATATGGTTTTTTTCCATTGCTCCAAGATGCCCTGCCTGGTTTAATAGATAACTACTAAAAAATAGAAAGCATAGGACCTGTATTAGTTTGCTTTATGAACTTAAAAAATACATGTGTGTTCTTTGGGTTCATATTTTTTCATAAGTGGATGACAATCGTGGTAGCTAATATTTACTGAACCCTTTATAGTTTGCCAGGTACTGTCTTACACATATGACATTTTCAACTGAAATCCAGCTCGATAAGGTAAATATTACTCTTCTCTTTTTCAAATTGAAGAAGGTGAGTAGAAAGTAGAAAAGCAGCTAGCTTTCACAGCTAATAAGTAGTGGCTTGTATAATTGGAAATAAGCTCTAAGTGTAAAATGCACATGGATTTTCAAAGAAAATGTGATGAAGAATCTAAAATATCTTAGTTGTTACATTGATTACTTGGTAACATTTTGTGTCTATTAGATTGGATAAAACTCCATGTTAAAAATTTCACCTAAGCTAGGCACCAGTGGATCATGCCTATAATACTACCTACCCAAGAGGCTGAGATCTGAGGAAGAATCCAGATCCTGACAACTGGTTTGAAGCCAGCAGTGGCAGAAAAGTCCATGACACTCTTTTCTCTGATTAATCACCACCAAAAAAAAAAAATGCAGTGGAGCTGTGGCTGAAGTGATAGAGCCCTAATTATGAAAGGAAAAAGCTAAGGATAGCACCTCGTCCCTGAGTTGAAGCCTTAGTAGTGGCACCAAAAAAAGTTACTTTCACCTTTTTTCCCTTTCTCTCTTTTTTTTTTTGGGGGGGGGGGTCCAGTAGTGGGGCCTGAACTCTGGGCCTGGGCGCTGTCCCTCAGCTCTTCGGCTCAAGGCTAGCACTCTACCACTTGAGCCACAGCGCCACTTCTGGCTTTTTTCTTTTTGCTTATGTGGTGCTGAGGTATGGAACCCAGGGCCTCAGGCATGCAAGGCAAGCTCTCTACCACTGAGCCACCTTCCCAGCCCCTCTCTTTTCTTGTAAGTTAACCTTTTTTGTTTTTGTGCCAGTACTGGGGCTTGACTTAGGGACTGGGTCCTGGCCCTGAGGCTTTTGCTCATGGCTAGCATTTTACCACTTGAGCCACAGGGCCACTTCTGACTTTTTTTGTGGTAAGTTGGAGATGAGAGTCTCTCAGACTTTGCTGTCTAGGCTGGCTTCAAATCTTAATTTTTAAATCTCAGCCTCCCAAGTTACTAGGATTATAGGTGTGAGCCACTAATGCCCAGCTTTTATTAATTAATCTTTATGGTGGTACTGAGGTTTGAACTCAGGGTCTCATGCTTGCTAAGCATGTACTCTACCACTGGAGCCACACCCTCAGCCCTGTTCTGCTTTAGTTATCTTTCAGGTAGGGTCTCACAGTTTGTTTTGCCCAGATTAAAACTCTCCTATTTATGATCTTCTAGCCATAGAAGTTCCTTTTATGCTCAAAGGGACATGCAGACCCAAGTGACAGTTCACTGAGCTGGCATGGTTTTCTACTTACCAAATGCAAGCTCTGTCTGGCACAAAATGAAGGAAACTCAGATCCTTTGAAATGTGGATTTTTGGAGATCATTTGTGTCCCTGTGCCTACCTCCTCAGATTGATTGTGTGTGTGTGTATGTATACATGTGCCTGAGTGTACCATTATTGGATCTTGAACTCAGGGCTCTTGCTTGGCTTTTTTGCTCAAGGATGACACTCTACCACTTGAGCCACAGCTCCCTTTCCTCAAATTGCTTTCTTGCATGTACATAAGTTAAGTTTTAGCATAGCACAAGCTACTTATCTAAGTCTTTGAGCTTCTGTGTCAGCCAGACAGCAAAGACTGGTTAAACAAAGTGCTTAGCTGGGCACCAGTAGCTCACACCTGTAATCCTAGCTACTCAAGAGGCTGAGATCTGAGGATTGTAGTTCAAAGCCAGTCTGGGCAAGAAAGTCTTACCTCCAATTAACCACCAGAAAACTGGAAGTGGTGTTGTGACTCAAGTAGTAGGTAGAGTGCTAGACTTGACCTGAAGAGCTGAAGGACAGCGCTCAGGCCCAGAGTTCAAGACCCACGGTGGACAAAAAACAAACAAACAAACATATGTGCTTGCACATATGTTTTATTCTATCTAGAGATGAGTGATCAGGGAGCTACATTATTTGTAAACTTTGATTAAAATTATTCCACGTTGACATTTAGGTTTCACATGAATTTCTTCATGTCTTATCTCTCAGGCAAATAATTGTAGCTCCCCGCGAGGGCCCCTCCCTCCCCCCCCTCCACTATGGGGAAGAGTAAGTAAGGGGGCAGGCCAAAAGAGACCAGGAATGTCACTGTGATAAACTCCTTTAAAAGAGTGAAGAGTGGAAAAGTACTCCCATTACCCCGTTAATATTATGTTTAAGTCTGGCCGTTTCTCCTAGTTACCAATTGTACATCAAATTGATTGCTTTTTTTGTGAAGACATTTGGTATTTAAAAGAGAACTTTGAAGAGGGTAAGTATGAGTATAGTCAAGATGGTTTATTTTCATATATACAAATAGAACAATAAAACATGTTGAAATTGAAGGAGGGAGTGTCAGAGAGTGATAGAGGGGGTGAGTTTGATTGGGATACAGTGTGTACATGTGTGGAAATGTCATCATGAATACCTCTTTGTACAACTAATATATGCTAATAAAAACCCTTAAAAAGAAGCATACTCTTAAAAATGAAAAAAATACTGTTTTCAAGATAAAATTTGGGAAGCAAAAGACTTTATAGCATTAACTAGTAGGTACTGTTTGAAAGCAGACTGCCTTTGTCTTCTAGTTGTTTTTATTTTATATTTTTTGGCTTGTTTTATGCTAATAGAATTTCCCCATTAATGTAGAATATGCTACAGTGACTTCTTGCTCTCCAGAGGGTATCATCCAGTTAATTAGTTTTTCTTTTTATAGAATCGTAAAATGTTAAAGCTACAAAGGGATACTGGTGTAGAATGTTAGAGTAGCTAAGTTTCGTATTCAGAAATAATTCATATATTTAAAAAAATAAGAAATAAATATATTAATGATTATAAAAGGGGGATGGGGTGAAAGAAGAAGGCTATGGGACTTAGTGACTGAAGTATGCTATATATTCATGACGGAAGCAAGTTATATATATATATGTATAAAAATAAACCATTAAAACTGTTTAAAATGGGAGGAGGGAAGAAGGGGTTAAGAAAGAGTAATATAGATGAGTGGATTTAATCAAAGTACATTATATGCATATATGTAAATATCATAATGAAACCCCTTTGCAAGTCAATTTATATTAGTATTTAAAATGTATACTATTTTGATGATGATCATTTTTATAAAATTAGACAAATATGAAACAAAAATTTAAAGATCTCTAATTTAAAAAGACTACCATTGCCCAGTGCTGGTGGCTCATGCCTGTAATCCCAGCTACTCCAGATGCTGAGATCTGAGGATTGTGGTGTGAAGCCAGCCCAGGCAAAAAAGTCCCCATGACTTACCTCCAATTAACCACTCAAAAACTGTAAGTGATGCTGTGGCTCAAGTGGTATAGTGCTATCCTTGAAGACAAAACTGGCTCAAGGACAGCAGCCAGGCCCTGAGTTCAAGCCCCACAACAACAACAACAACAACAACAACAACAGAGAGTACCACCATTAACACTCATGGATATAGCCTCTGTATCGTGTGTATGTATGTGTTTAACTTTAAAACATATAAATTTTATAAACTGCCTTTTTTCATTTTTACTTTGTGGGTATATAGATACACCATCAGTTCTTCATCTAAGACAACACTTTTGACTACTCCATTTTATTGATGTGCCGTTAAGTTATGAAGCCAGTCCCTAGTTGCTGGACATTTTGGTTATTGTTTCAAGTTTTTTTGACATTACCAGCACAGCAAGGAACGTATCTGTACTTATATCTTTGTACACATTCTTTTTTTTTTGGATGCTGTCTTGTGCTTGAATTCAGCACCTGGGTACTGTTCCTGAGCCTTTATGCTTACGGCTAGCATTCTACCAGTTGAGCCACAGCTCTACTTCCAGTTTTTGGTGGTTAGTTGGAAATAAGAATCTTATAGGCGGGGCTGGGAAGGTGGCTCAGTGATAAGAATGCTTGCCTTGCATGCGTGATGCCCTGGGTTCGATTCCTCAGCACCAGATAAGCAGAAAAATCCGGAAGTGGCACTGTGTCTCAAGTGGTAAAATGCTAACCTTGAGCTGAAGAGCTCAGGGATAGCGCCCAGACCAAGAGTTTAGGCCCCACGACTGACAAAAAAAAAAAAAAAAAAAAGAATCTTATAGGCTTGGTGCCAGTGGCTCATGCCTGTAATCCTAGCTACTCAGGAAGCTGAGATCTGAGGATCATGGTTCAAAGCCAGCCCTGGCAGGAAAGGCCCTGAGACTCTTATCTCTAATAAACCACCAGAAAACTGTAAGTGGGACTGTGGCTGAAAGTGGCAGAGCACTAGTGTTGAGCTGAAGAGCTCAGGGACAGTGCCCAGGCCCAGCGTTAAAGCCCCATGACAAAAAGAATCTTACAGACCTTCCTGCCCAAGCTGGCTTCAAACTGCAATCCCCAGATCTCAGCTTCCGGAGTAACCAGGATAACAGGTATGAGTGAGCCACTAGGGACCAGCTTTTGTGCATATTCTTAATTGCTTGCTTCTGTCTTTCCTTTTTCTTTCTTTTCTTTCTCTTTTTCTTTCTTTCTTTCTTTCTTTCTTTCTTTCTTTCTTTCTTTCTTTCTTTCTTTCTTTCTTTCTTTCTTTCTTTCTTTCTTTCTTTCTTTCTTTTCTTTCTTTCTTTCTTTCTTTCTTTCTTTCTTTCTTTCTTTCTTTCTTTCTTTCTTTCTTTCTCTCTCTTTCTCTCTCTCTGTCTTTCTTTTTCTCCTTCCTTCCTTCCTTCCTTCCTTCCTTCCTTCCTTCCTTCCTTCCTTCCTTCCTTCCTTCCTTCCTTCCTTCCTTCCTTCCTTCCTTCCTTCCTTCCTTCCTTCCTTCCTTCCTTCTTTCTTTCTTTCTTTCTTTCTTTCTTTCTTTCTTTCTTTCTTTCTTTCTTCTGTGTTAGGGCTTGAGCTCATAGCCTGGTTACTGTCTCTCAGGTTTTTTTTTGATGAAGCTTGGCATTCTGCAACCTGAGCCACATCTTCACTTCTAGCTTTTTAGTGGTTACTTAGAGATAAGTGACAGACATGCCCATTTAGTCTGGCTTCGAACTTTGATTCTCAGACTTCAGCCTCCTGAATAGCTAGGATTATAGGTATGAGACATTGGTAACTAGCTTAACTACTTATTTAGTGTAAATTATAGAAAGTAGAGTTGGATAGAAAAAAGGATAAAGATTGACCAATTTAAACTCTTGCCAGTCCTGTTGATTATCATTTGAAAATTCTTGTCAGTTTGATAAATCAAAAAGTACTTTTTGATGGTAGTGTATTTCTTTATTAGCGTTATTTTTGTGGTGCTAGAAATGGAATCCAGGATTTTGCACTCCAAAGACAGTTCAATGCAGCTTTTTTTTTTGGTGGGTCGTGGGGCTTGAACTCTGGGCTTGGGCACTATCCATACGCTCTTCAGCTCAAGATGAGCTTGAGCCACAGCACCACTTCCGGTTTTCTAGTGGTTTATTGGAGATAAGAGTCTCACAGAGTTTCCTGCCCAGGCTGGTTTTGAACTGTGATCCTCAGCCTCCTGAGTAGCTGGGATTACAGGCGTGAACCACGGGTGCCTGGTAAAATGCAGCAAATATTTAAAATGATTTTCAACAAGATTGATTTCTTTCTGATTCTAATGTTTTGGTACAGTATAGGAGCATTGAACTTAATACTTCATGCTTGCTAGACAAGAGTTCTACCACTTGAGCCACACCCCAGCCCTCTGTTTCTAATTTTTTTGTGCATTGGTTCTAGGGCTTGAACTCAGGGCCTTGGTGCTGTCCCTGAGCTTTTTAACTCAAGGCTAGTATTCTATTACCTGAGTCACTGCTTCGTTTCCAGCGTTTTTTGGTGTTTATTTGGAGATAAGAATCTTATAGACCTTTCTGCCCAGGCTGCTTCAAACTGCAATCCCAAGATCTCAGCCTCCTGAGTAGCTAGGATTACTGGTGTGAGCCAGCTGCACTCAGAGGTTTTACTTTTTAATGAAGGAAAACCCTACTGCCCTATTTATCCAGTAGTGTAAATTTCAATTTATACTGATTGAGCTAAGAGAACTTGTTAATTAAAATTGTAGTAAAATTTGTGGTATTAATATACCTTGCATCCATTTGTTGGAGAAGGAGTTGAAATAGGAAATAGTACAGCAGTACTTTCTTGATTCAATTATGATAACACTA